CGTGGAGAGTCCTGAGGTTGATGGACCACCGTCACTCTTGTCTTCTCTGTGAGAACAAGTGTAAGTGATTTCGCGTCGTTACTTTGGCTTGATCGCGTTTGTGTTAACTGCAAGTGTGTTTAGGGTCGTTCCTCCAGCAATGGCATCGGAGACCAGAGGCCCCTTCTGGCGTCGTCCATCCTTGACCTGCTCCAGCATCGGGGCCAGTGAGTCCCCGTCCCCCGTCCCTTTCTGTCGGGCAGCAAGGGATATGGAGCTTTGTGCTTGAAAGGGACAAGGCTCGCCGGTTGCACTCAAGCTCTGTCCATGAGGTGGCCAAACTGAAGGCCTGCGTGGATTATCTCCAGGCGGCCCTCCAAGTGGCGGAGGAAGAGGTCGTCGAGGCGCGGTCGGTAGCGACCGCCACGAGGGTGCGAGCATATGGTGAGCTTCTTTCTACCGCTAATTCTCAGTCGCTAGGTTTTTGTTCTTGGGTTTTGTAAGTGCAATCAAGCTCTAAGTGGGTTTTGGTGATGTTGACTACATAATTAACAGACTAATGGCTTTGACAAGTGTTTGACAGAATATCTTTAATCATGGATGCAAAGAAACAAAGGAGGAGATTCTCCAACTTGAATCGATGGCTTGCAACGGCTCGAAGAGCTATGTTAATTCATTTTATACTTTGAAATTGAGTCATAGGACAAGCCATACTATCAAGGGGGACACTAATGGTGTGCTAGGTGAAACAAAGTGCTCAAAACTCCATATTCAACTCAAATAATCCCTGCCACAAAAAGCCAACTGAGCTGAATTCTTATCTGCTCTGGCCTACGTGGAACCTCCGCGGCGCGAAACCTCTGAGCTCAAACGCGGAGGCTCCGAGGTCTGTCTGACCAGACCATTTTGTGGGTGACGTGGGTGGTATTTATACCATACCCCTTCGCCCCCAATGGTCATCTTCTTCCTTATTCACTCAGACTCGAACTGAAGCTCCCTCTCACCCAAGCTTGGTGCTCCCAACTCCCTTGCTCAAATCTTTGTGATTCTTTGAGGGATTTGGCTCTAGAGAGTGTGAGAAAGCTCGAGAAGATCCTTCTCCTCTGTTCTTGTGCACTTGGTGAAGCCCTAACCGTTTGGTGTGTTCATTACTCTTGGAGCTTTGCTCCTAGATGGCTAACGGTCGCCCGGTAGCTCCCAATCCGCTGTGGTTGAGCACTGGGAAGTTTGTATTACCCTTTGTGACTTAGTGGAACCCTCTAACCCATTGCCTTGGTGATAGGATGGAGAAGAAGAGCGAGTTGAAAGAGACTCTATAGCCTTTGTGGCCAACCTCAACAACGTGGATGTAAACAAGCCTTTGTGGCGAGTTGAACCACGGGATAAATCCTTGCGTTCACTGTGATTGCTGTTGTTGTTGCTATTACTTGTGATTTGGATTGATTTTTAGGGTTTGCATCCGATCTGCGAATTTCTCATCTTCTAGGTGCAACCGACTGTTTGGATAGGTCAACATACTCCCCAGGAAGGCTGGTATTATATTCGATATATTTTTCATTCGTTAAATTCCGTAGTAGATCGATTTCATACTCTGATCCCCAGAGGTTCCACGCTCAGTCCCGGAACCTCCTCGCTCCGGAACCTCCGCGATCAAACCCGAAGGTTTCACGTTCTGATTGTTTTCATAAGTTGATTAAATTTTAGAAAAAGGCCTATTCACCCTCCCCCTCTAGGCCATTTGCTAGATCTTTTCAATTGATATCAGAGCAATGTTTTCTCATGATAGCACTTAACCGTGTGAGGAAATGTTACATCCTAGAGAAAGGGTACCAGAAATAGATGGAGAGGACCGCTTTGAGGATGTTCCCATTGAAGAGGAACCCAAAGCTCCTGAGGATGATGCCACAGCAGCGCTTGAGCGACTTCCAAAGCTCAAGTTTGGTGCTAAGGAATCCTCCAAGGGAGATAAGCAAAGGGACAAGAACAAGAACAAAGAGGAGAAGAAACATAAAGCAAGAAGAAATGTGCAATCAAGTCCACAACCAAGCAGTGAGTCGGAGAATGGAGATGATGATGATGAGTACTATGTTCAAAGGCTACCATAAAGGACACTCAAGTCTAACACCAAGAGATCATATTCGAGTGTATCATTTAACTATGATTCCGTAAATTTGCCTACTAACACTCACATCAACATACCCGCGGGCAAGTTACCCCAATTTGATGGGACCAACTTTGCCAAGTGGAAGCATATGATGAAGGCTTATCTTATTGGACTCCATCCGGAGATGTAGAATATTGTGTGTGTAGGTTTTGAAGATCCCATTGATCCCGAAAATCCCACACCAAGAGAGATTTGCATGATACATCGCAATGCTCAAGCTACTAGTGCTCTTCTAAGTGCATTAAGTTCAGAAGAGTACAACAAAGTGATTGGTTTGGAGATTGCTAAGGAGATTTGGGACACCCTTCACCTTGCACATGAAGGAGTTAGTAAGGTAAAGAAGTCCAAGATTGATCTATTGATGGCTCAACTCAATAGGTTTGTTATCAAGGATGGAGAAGGCCCTCAAGAGATGTTTGATAGATTGATGGTGATAGTTGGCAAGATTAGAGGCTTGGGTGGGGATGACTTGAATGATCATCATGTTGTAAAAGTGATGTTGGAAGCATTTGCACCAAAAAACCCAACTTTTGTGGCATTGATTAGAGAGAAGAAGAGGTTTGAAGAGTTCACCCCTAGTGATGTCCATGGAAGAATACTCACTCATGAGCTCATGGAGATGGAGATACAACAAAGGAAAAAGTTTGGAGAGCTAGAAGTAAAGATGGAGAACTTGAAGGTCAAGGAGGTAGCTCTCAAGGCAAACAAATCAAACAAGGCTTTCACCTCGAGCAAGCCACCAAGATCAAGATCAAGCAAGGTTGAGACGGATGATTCATCAAGTGACTCAAGTGATGATGAAGTATCTTCTGGTGAGATTGGTGATGTTGCCTTGTTTATGAGGAAGTACAAGAAGGGGTTGAAAAGAGAAGGGTACAAGTTTGTGAAGAGGAGATTTCCCAACAAGCAAAAGAGAAAATGCTATAATTGTGGGAGCATGGAGCATTTTATTGCCGATTGTCCTTATGGAAACAAAGAGGACAAGAAAGACAAGA